TTCCTTATTCTTAACTCTATGACCATTCATGTTCTATATTGAATATAAATCAAATTATCAAGAAATATATAAGTCCTTCCATAGGATATTTGAGGAGGACATATCAATGTATTTAATTATAGTCAGATACCACAAATTCGATCAAACATAAAAATAAGAATGGTGATCATATCCATGTACTAATTCTGATCATATCATTGTCATGGAAACATATCTAATTGGTATGACACAATAGAGGAAATTCAATAAAGCACTTTCAATAAAGAACTTCATTATAAGTAAAAACCAAAAGTTGATGTGTCCTTGGATCAAATTATTAACAAATAGTTTGAACTCAATGAAATCAAACTCTAATCTGATCCCAACTGCACAAATGGATCAAGTCTACATACCTGCAACAACCTCAAATATTTTAATACCAATTTACACCTTGCACTGCCTTCTTTTAACAAATATTTTAACAAAACATTTTATTATTCTTACAGATCTAGCAAAATAATCACATTATACTCTCAAATGCTTTAAAACACCAAAGAAAAAAAAATCCAAATCTGTCCAGAGAAAATTACACCAAAGAAATACCTAGATTTGAAGATAGTATTGAGTAGAAAATATGAGACAAGGATAGGAGATGAGGATGAGCCTTCGATTGAGCCTTTGATTCTTCAATATGCCACAACAAAGGAATGGGAAGACAGAGCAAACCCTAGAGAACAACTGCTCTGGAATGAATCTTACGGGAGAAAGAGGATATGTGAGAAATAAGCTCACGTACACGAAGGTTGTTTTTTAATTTGAGAGTGTTTTCTGTATTTTGATTCATTTTCGTGTTTTGGCTTGAAAATGCTCAAAACTTCAAAAAAGACGTTTTGAGTTTTTAGTACAATTTTTTTTTTGTTTTCAAAAATTCATTTTCGAAAATAGGAAAGAGAATGCTGCGTTTTCACTGTTTTGGAAAATCGCAAACATAAAATTGCATGGAAACAGCAAAGAGAACAACCCCTAATTATTCATCATAATAACGTTTTCAACCTTATAAGACAAAAATATCCTTCATTGCAAATTTTAAAAGCGAATTTTTTCACAAACGTTTATTGGGTATGTTTCCATACCTCCCCCCAGACGTCAATGGGTTTTGTTTTCAAACCCCCGGACAGGGTTCGGAACACATCTAGACTCCTCAGACCCGTTAACAAATAATAGATATGTTCTGATTTTTTCAAAGATTTGGTTTTCTTCAATAAAAGAATTTTTTGTTAAAATCTTTGAATATTAAAGCTAAAAACACATTATTCATCAATATTATCAGCAAAAAATTAGAATTTAACCAAATAAAATGAAGAGACCTCGAATATGGAGATGGATGAAAAAACCTTGAAAAATGGAGATAGAGAGGATGAAAAAACTTTGAAGAATCGGTTTATTGTAGGAGAGAATTTTAAATTTATAACATTTTTCAAATTCTCATTGTTCAAAATGGGGATAAAATGGATATTGTGATTTTTTAAAACTTTTTAACTTTTTCTTTACTTAGATCTGGTCAAAGGCTATCGTGGAAAAGTGTTCGAATCAACCAGCCATCTACCATTATGCTTTTCAGTACTCTTATTCAACTATGAACATCATTTGCCAATTATTCAATTTACATTTAAGAAATTGAACAAATTTGAATAGTAAATTACACCAACCTAAAATTTTCGTGCTGACATTATTTATAGATGTTTGAATAGTTGAATTTTATGTGAATTTTATGGTTTTGCTTTATCTGAAATATATGTACAAGATTAAATCGATACATTTGATATTGGAATTAAAGGGAAATCAGTGTGATTATTAGGGGTTTTCATCTTTTGATTTATATTATGCTATTCTTGAGTTTACTGGTTTTTGAGTGCTAATTAATGAAGGTCCAAGTCATGGGTAAATTGATTTAATTGGAAATTTGAGTTAATAATTTTTCCTTTCGATTATTTTTTTGCAAGTTTGATTGTGCACATTAACTCTCAATGTCTGCATCACCACTGTCTAGAGATGGGTAATACGTGCTTTATCTTTTGCAAGTGTTGAATTAGATTTGCCCCTTCGAGTTATCTGAGTTTATGTATTATTTTTACCCCGTTTTGGGATGGTACATTTACACATGATTCACATTTGTTCACGTTCTTCAACATCTTTTGTTCCTCATGTGTCTTTAGTTTTGAGGAACCTTGTAGTATGAATACGATGAAGTCGTATATTGAAGTAAGTTTACGGGCTATGAAACTCCACGAAAACTAAAGATGTTAACATGTAAAAACGTAAATAATCCAAAGGTCCTTAAGGTAGCTATTGTGAAGTAACCTTATATTTCAAGCTACTAAATAGTCTTTAGAATGATTGTAGTCCATGTTAGCAAATGATTAACAAGTGTCAACGGATAACATGGATATCGTCATAGGTTTTAATTGTTGACAGTTGATGCTAAGATACCACAATGGCGTCTTGTGACAAGACATGTCATTCGTTTTCCCCTCTTTTTTGCCAGCAATTTTGTTTACTATTGATATGTATCCCTTGTAACTTTTAGATTTACATTGGGATAATATGAGTTGAGTTTTAGTTCGCAACTTAGGGTTGAAGTACATAACGAGTTATGTGGATTTGAATAGCTAATCTTGCAAACATGCAAAATATCATAAGTTCTAATTAATGAGCAATTTTGAGGTCTCATTAATTTTATTGGAAGGGATGATATTGTAGCCTTATTGTACCCGAAATACTTTTAAGCATTCCTCTTATGGCTATGTAGCCTTTCGTGAACTTTGCCGAATACGGGGTTTTTAGTCCCATTTTCTTTGTATGTCCCTTATTTCTAATATCACATATAGAATAAGGGTGTTTTCCTTGTTTATGGTAACAGGGGGTTTGACCCCCGGTAATACCCATTAATCTCGATGCACATGAAAAGCGTTAATTCGTTTTTATTGGAATATATTTTCTTTTTTGATGTTTATTTATATGGTTCTTTCTGCTGGTGCAGATAATAGCATCGTCCACTTTATCATGAAGATCAACTTTGGCGCTACTCCCAAGCGCCAAAAATTAGCTCCCATTCTCCTTCTAATGATGTGCCCACGGAGGGTTCCAAGTGAGACAAGGGTAAGGCTTTACGTGAAGGAGACTGTGATTAAGTGACCTCCACCGCCTCTAGGGGTGGAGGTTCACAGGTATCTGGGTCCTTACCCATGGAATTTGGATCTCAATCTTCGCCAATTTTGGCACCTAGGGAGAAACAATAGTGCTAAAAGGATCTGAACATCTTGTAGACACTAATGCTTTATTTTTTGCTTGCCTCAATGAGGAGATG